ATCAGCTTAATAATAATAACACAGATGTAACAAAGACAAACTCTCCTCCCACTGCTGCTGGAGCACCTGTGGCCATGGCCCTGCGTTGTGGGCACAGCTCAGGGTGGTGCCCAAGGCGAAACCACAGGCAAAGACCAGGCCCTTTCTGCATGCCACCAGCCCAGGGGACACCCCAGGCTGTGTTCTGCTGGGGCAGGGGGATGCTGGTGGGTACCCCTGTTTCCGTGAGAGCCGGGCATCACTGCCTGCAGGCACCCCATCCCATCCCATGCCGACCAGGGCTGCGTGGGCTAGCCCGGAGGGCTGAGTCCCTGTGCTCGAAGGGTTAACACCGCCAAGGTCCCGCTGATGAGGTTTGTTCAACTCCCCACTACATCCTACAGCGCTGCTAATTATGTCTTCATAAACCAATTAGTCAGGTCTCTCCCTGCCGTGCCTCTTTACTTCCCTCTCCATCGTCAGCCCGGTGCCGGGGAACACCTGCCTGGGACCCTGCCTCCCCCGGGTGAGCCCCCTGCCCCAAAGCTGTTTCGGAGCCTTCTGAGGATCTGCTTCGTGCTCGTTGGTGAAAAATGGAAGCGCTGCAGCTCGTCCTGCCCTGGCGCACAACATCCACAACTGCAGCTGCTCCGGAGGGAGGTGAGGAGGTGGGGGCGAGCCAATATCCTTCTTCAAATATGGAAAAAAAATTACCACACCAAGGAAGGCAATAAATTCTTCCCTACGTTCAAAAGCAAGGGATTTGCTTTGTAGGGAGAGAGATTTAGGTTATCTGCTTGGAATTTGAAGGTTTTTAAAGGGAGGTTAGGCACACAGGCAGGGTTCAGGAAGAGCTGACCCTGCCCCAAGGCACGAGAGGGGATCGGATGCATCCTGAGACCCAGCTACCACATTTTCTGCTAACACCAGTAACCGCCCGAGGAGTCAGACCAAGCAGAGGCTCACCCAGCCACCCCATCGCTGCCTGGCCCGTTGCCCCCGGGTTCCTGCCCTTGCCTGCTCATGGGGCTGGGGCTGAACCTGCTAAAGGGGATTGGACTTGTTTTGCGAGCCAGCCATGATGGTGGACGGGAGGCTTGGCTCCAAGCCGCTTCCCTGGAGCGATTCCAGGTCCATGACAATTAGCCAACAGCTGGAATACCATTTAAGCACAGCTGCCATCATGCGAATTTAGAGATTAGCAGGGATTAAAGCAGTCTGGAACTTCTCACCATTTGTCATTAATGCCCTGGGCTCTATAATAGCCAACTGCCGTGCATCCCCGAGGCGGCTCCCAGGTCACCACGGCTGGAGACGGGTCGC